CCTGATGGTAAGCAATCGGCGCCGCCCATAGATATTTGAAACGCCAGTGGCGTTACAAGTGCATTACCGGCTTTTTGGGAATGGGAAATTTGAGTATTGTTGGGGGATTCGAGGGAGACTGGAGAAGGGGAATAATTGGGCCTCCGATAACCTGACTCACACGACGAAAGACAGCGCAAGCATTTTTTCACGTCGGTTTTCTGTGAGGCCGTGGTAGCACACCGGTCGAGCAGGCCCATTTGTGCCGAAGCATGGCTCTCCCACACTTAAAATTTATTCCATAGATTGGTGTAATATTGTATTGTTTTCAGTATTATAAACACGAATTTTACATACACGCACTTTAGACTTATCAATTTGTTTCTTTTTTATCAAAAACCCAAGTACCTACTAAACTACTTTATCATTATCACCATCATCAATAGACTAAAAGTAGCTTCTCTCTCGCACGGAGAAGGTTTCAGCATTAAACTGTCACACACCGCGAGGACACCGGTGACTGCAACTTATTGTTCTTTAATTGTGTCTATAATGACGGTACTCAAAGGGTTAATCACCACGCTTACTCAATGCGGGTTGACGCTACTTTATGTGTTTGATTGGACAAGGTTTTATCACAAAAAAATACACTGCTTTATACAACTATCAACAACTGAGTTACTATCTAACAAATAACCCTTTTTGAACACAACACGGGAGTAGTTTACAAATTATATAACTAATTGGCGAGAGTTTTTAGCGCAACCCTCAACTTTGGTGAGATTCGTTAGGTCTTTGTTAATTTTGTTAAATAATTAATTATACCAAACCACTGAGACGTGCTTTACTGAATAATTGTTTGGTAAAGGCGGGATACAATGAGAGAAAATCTTTATTACAAATGTTTGTTGCACGCGTTTGCTTTATATATTAGTTTTATATATTTTTAAATATTCAGCTCTGTGTATTTTTTTCATTATTGAGAATTTTATTTTATTATTATTTTTATTTTAAGTTGTAAATATTTATGTAGTTATATATGTTCGATATCTTAAATAAAAATGAAACAATATATCTTTATATAGATGTATATCTTTATATATTGTATATCTTTATTTATTTAGATAATGGTAATTATGATGAATTTTGAATGTTACGGTCCTTTGGTTGGTCATCTGTCACGTTACAACCTTTGCTTTTACAAAAAAACCGTAATTTTGTTATACCCACACGGTCCGGTTACTATGCAGTTGACGTCCATATTATAGTAACCGAAGCATATAAAACGACGCTCAAAGTAACTTGGAACTAATTAGAGGAGAACAATTTCTTTATCCAATAGTAAAAATTGCAACCATATCAACATCAAAATTCAACGAAGCATATACAACGACCAAATTAAATGAACCACGAAGTACCTCATCCGTTGGCTCAGACAATGTATAATTAGATCTATGTTTTTCTTCGTAATTTAGTCTGAAGTCTGAGAATTGAGCTTGACATACGGCAATAAGATTAACGCCAAGTTTTTAGAAGGTGGATGTTACATTCAAAATGTGTTATATGTAACTTCTAAGTGCATAAAGTTAAAGATCTATCTAAATGAGCATTTCTAATGGAGGTCATATTTAAGGAATATCTAAGTTTGGGAGCCGGCTCGACCGGAATGATACCACGGCCTCACAGAAAACTGACGTGAAACAATGCTTGCGTTGTGTATCGTCGTAAGAGTAAGGCTACCGGAGGCCTAGTTACTTCCCTGATCTACCCAATCTCCGAATCCCCATTAATCCTCAAATTCCTAATGACAAAAGGCCGGTAAGGCACTTGTAACGCCTCCGGTGTTCTAGGTGTCCATGCGCGACGCTCATTACTTATCATCAGGTGATCCGTCTGCTCGTTTACCGGCTTATCACATAAAAAATTAGACTATTATTAGACTATTTCTGAACTTCTAGTCCTCAAGATATCTTGAGGACTAGAAGTGTAATATTTCGGTATTTCATAACCCAGTGTATCCCACCCTTACAATGCGTCACAGAAAATAATAAAACTTATACGATTTAACGAGGACTGGTCATGCATAAATAATCTAAGCACGAGAAATAACATTGCCTAAATGTGGGTTAAAATATTTTGTTACATAAAGTATTCAAGATTTTATTGCTAAAATAAAGTACTAGGCATTTTTTATTGCTGCTGTTCAAAATGCCCGAATATAATTCACTGTATTATGTATTGCGTGGTGTATTTAGGTCTCCAGTAGACACGCTACTTATAGAATCGATAAGTTATTTTTCGGAAACTCGATCACGTGTTATAATTATAAAATAATCGATACTCGATATAGGTGAAATGTTAGATATCGAGGCAATGATTAGACGTTAGAATGGTCTGGCCTGTCTCAATGATTATAGCATACATATCTGTGGGTACATTTTCTTCTAGAGTTTTCCTTATATGTTTTAATAAAAATGTGTTTCTACGTCCAGACAAGCTATGTTTAGAGACAGACCGTAAAATCGATATTGTTTTGAAAAATATCGGTGTACGAGTATGGCCGTTAATTGTATTAGTCGCCAATTATCGATTGTTTACATTAAAAATAACACCTAGGACGTAAAAAGCCTAGAGGCATAATTTTGGACAAGATTATTTTTAAATGGGACTGTGTCGCGTACGGTTTTTTTTGGATAAACTCGCCCCACATTTCAACTTCTGTAAGCCAGGATCTAAAATGTAGACGAACCAAAAAAAAGTATAAATGACCAAATAAAGACCAATTTCGTAATATCTTCTATGAAACAAAGTATTATTAAGAAGCTGTGTGTATGCTTTGCTTATGTGGTTAAAGGTAAAATTGGCCTGTACAGCCTCAACAAGCAACATATCTCCGAATACAAAAATCATACAATAATTAATTACTCCCTATTACAATGAGTTTCCAATTCTTTGTGTGATCTACAAATTTATGTTTCAACAAGACTGAATGTGATTTGTATTATAAAAGCACCTACGTTACCTGAATTACCGTTACCTGAATTTATTTCTGCAAATTGGCTACAAGGCAGCACTTTTACACGTCAATTTTATCAAGCGAACGATGAGGTCGACATTTCCTAACTGACTACTCTGAGAAGAAATGCCGAAACAAACTCAGAGGTCTGTCTCTTTTAAAGTCCAGACAAATATGTATAAAAGATTATGGGTGAGAACCGTGCAAGTTCTTTCTGTAGTGGCCTTTTGAGGAAAGAACCACAACTATTTGAGTGGACCCGTTCTGAAAGCAGTACGCATGTGTCGGTTTACAGTCAGCTCAATTAACAGGCGAGGCTGACTGATTCGACGAACAATTCCAACCTAAAGAAAATTTGCGTGTGTCGCACAAATACTCAAACTGTCTGAATATGGGTAATTAGAAAAGAAATGGTGAGGCAAATCTCGCACGCATATAAAACACTAGCGTCTGCCCGTGGCTTTGCCTGCGTGCCCGATAAAAAGTAGCCTATGTGTTGTTCTAGACAATTTTCTATCTCTTTTCCAAATTCATTCTGATCCTTTCAGCCATTTTGCTGTGAAGGAGTAACATTTAAACTTTCACATTTTTGACAGTAGTAGCTTTTGCCAGCGGCTTTGCCCGCGGTCCCGTAGGGTAAAAAGTAGCCTAAGTGTTAATCAAGACCATATTCTACCACTGTTCCAAATTTTAACAACAAACAACACAGTAACAAAAAAAACAAACAAACAAACATACATACAAGCTTTGACGATATTAGTATGTAGTATTGGTATGTAGTTTATGTACTAGGATACATTTATCACCCTCGTTTTTTATTTATTATTTTTTTCAATAGTTCAAACTTCGTTTAAAACCTACTGTAACACTTCTCTGCACCACCCTATGGTTGGCTGGTAGAGAATGCCATTCGGCATTAAGTCCGCCATTGTATACAGTTGTACATAAAGTGTTAAATAAATAAATAAATAAATAAAAAATTAGCAGGGTCAGCTAAAAATGTACATATATCCGTCTTTCAACTTTCCGTGAATGAAATCGCTAGTGAAAAATACCGTTTAAAGACAAACTGAAGCTCTGAAACTTTCAATCAACTGCCACAATAGTGCTCCGTATTTTCAAACAGATCAACCAAACCAGTTTGCGCTTTTGACTTTGAGTCGCTCGTAAATAAAACTCCAGGTGATTGCTCGGACATTCAGAATGTGGTAATGGATTTTTATCTTTACACGAAGGTGTTTCGCTACTATCAAGCTTGTACTAAATTGATTTTTGAAGTGGAAATTTTCTGTAGTTATGCACGATGAGTTAAATTACCTTTGGTTAACTTTCTAGAGCAAAGGTTTATTGTCAGATTTATATTGGTAATAGATGGCTCGGAGGTTCAGACGCCCGCTTCTTATGCATGAGGGTTCGAAACCTACCAACGGCAAGTACCAATGTGACTTTTTCCGAGTTATATGTACTTTCTAAGATTATTTAGACATCACTGACAAACGGTGAAGGAAAACATCGTGAGGAAACCTGGGCTTATAATTTCTAATTAACATAACATCTCGCCTTTCTACACCGAAGGGATAGGCAGAGGTGCACATTATGTCAAAGTCAAAGTCAAAGCATTTATTTCAATTAATCCATAGTTTGGTACTTTTGAAACGTCAACAAATACAAAATAAATAATAGTCTGTCAGTCAGTCCGTCAGTGAAACTAGGTGAAGCTAGGTGCTCATTCCAAAAAGTAGATTCGAATGGAAGAGAACGAGCAAGAAACTCCATTCGTTACTCTTTTTAAAAAAGTATGTATGGCACTTGCACTTGAGACTACTTACTTGTAGCTTAATAATAATTTTAACGAGTTTTGATGCAGCAGAGCCAACTATTTGTAACAACATTACAGCAGAGCCTATTGAACTATTTGCAACACAACATATTTGCGGTAGGCATTATCATTAAAGACAGAGAAAGGGACAGCTCATAAGTTTTAAAATCTGAAATAAATACTTACGTGGTTAGTATATCGTAGACGGTGTATCTTGCCAGGTAGGAATGCGTGTGGATCTTGCGCACATTCTGCGCCAGGAGCAGGAACCGACGGTCGGCTGACACTGAGAATGAAGCTGGTTCTAGCACCCTCTGCAACAAATTTTATACTCTATTTAGATGATAATTGAATTCAATATTGTGTTATTCAATCTGGACATCTAGCAGGCAGCTGGAGATCAATGTTTAAAGTTTCTCAGAGGCGCTGCTGTCAAATGTGTAGTGTAGCCGATGTTTACGTCGCGTCGTCTAAAATAGCGGTGATGAAATTTATAATACTACTAGCGGACCCGACAGACGTTGTCCTGCATATCCACTTGAATGTATAAACAAAAATTCATTCAAATTAGTTCAGCCGTTTAGTATAACTAACCTAAACATTTTTGTGAATCTGAACCATCCAGGGTGCCACTCGAACGTCTACAGAATAATTCGTTTAAATCAGTCAAAGCCGTTTAGGAGGAGTTCAATGACATACACACGTACAGCAGAATTATATATATAAAGATTCTGCAGTCATCATAGCTTTAGCAGATAATTGCACACATTAAAATATCCTGTAACAATATGTTCAACATTGAACCCTAATTCGCATATCATTCGACACGCGATCCCCATATTATAGTAGTATCGAATTATACCCATAGTCGATACCAGCTACGCCTATAAAGAGCATCGTAAAACAGGTATCGATGTTATCAAATTGGATTGAATCGATTCTCCTGGTCGTATTTGGTAGTAATGTTCGTGGTTATGATGTTACGGTATTTATTTGTCTTGAAGGATGTTTTGCTTTATTGGTGTGTTGCTTTGAGTATCTCTTTTGTATTTATGCGGCCCTGGTACATGTTTTTGAAGTGGGTAATATTTTGGACAAGGTTTTATTTAAGGAGGGGGCAAAAGTATTGAATGACTGCTCCCGCCTGGGTGAGGCGGGCGGGAGGGTCAGACTCTTACTGACTAAAAATCACCCCGTTCCTACTCCTGGTCTTCGAGCCGGAGCCCCGGCAACCCGTTAAGTCCTTCGCGGCTCCGTAGCCATCCGTGGTGGTCTGATGGCTCTTTAAACTGTCAAACACCAAGCGGTCACCGGTGACCGCGACCTATTGTTCTTTAATTGTGTCTATAAAACCGGTACTCGACGAGTTAAGGCGCGACGCGCCATGCGCTCGGGTCTGGTTCTGGTCGCCGTCCGCAGGCCCGCGCTTACGGTGACCGAAGATCGTCCTACGATGTTTTGGACACGGTATGGTGCTATTTTTTTGTATGCCCATTTTTTTATTTCTACATTTTACAACAATATAACTGAAACATGTTGAGAAACTTAACTGGAAACCCAGCCTTCTGAATCGCCTTGGCATTGGCATTTTCAATGAATCCTTTTTGCTTTTTGCGGTTGACAGTGAAATGTTTATAAGAGATTTTCGATGCTGGGTTTTTATTCATGTGTCCTTTATTTTCAGTTATTTTTTATTCAAAGTTCGGTTTGTACTGCCAATTATAAATATTTTGTATTGCATAGTTTTGTGCCTTTTCCTGAAAAGCGGTTGTAGTAATTGGAGTGCGAATATCAAACAATTCGAAAGGTGAACGTTCAAATTACTGTAACAAGAACAATGCACATCGAAAAATATTGTAGTATTGAATTAAATGTTTTCTACAATAACTTTGGAATAATCTACTATATAAAAATAAGTCGGGTTTTCCTTCCTGACGCTAAACTCCAGAACGCACGAACCGATTTCCCCGGTTTTGCATTCGTTGGAAAGGTCTCGGGCTCCGTCAGGAAATTTAAAGTTTCTTCATCTTCTAATCACCAAACGAAATATTACACAAAACGAAGCCATCTGGTGGCGAAACAGAGTTCGCCGGGTTTGCTAGTTTTAATATAAAAAATTCAGTTTAAGAGGAGAATTTGATCCATAGTAAAGTTATTTTATTTTTATGAGGACTTTTACTCACGATAGTTTATAATTCGACTGCACGTTTGATGCGGTGGCTGGGTAACCGGCTGCCGTGCAACGTGTCGCGGGTTCGATTCCCGCACGGGACAACACTTTGTGTGATCCACAAATTGTTGTTTCGGGTCTGGGTGTCATTGTGTATGTGAACTTGTATGTTTGTAAACGCACCCACGACACAGGAGAAAATCCTAGTGTGGGGCAACGTTTATAAAAAAAAAAAGAAAAAAAAAATTATTGTTAAGCATGTTATTTCTTACGTTTATTGGCTTTTATAACCAGGTTTAAGTTTTTATAATTTACAAACTTGATCCGAGGATTGAAACGCTGCGGGCTGAAGCACAGGCTTAAGACCTATTTTAGCAACAGATGCTAAAAATTGTTTTCATGATATAAATATTATGTAAGTTATATGAAGGCATTATGTAAAACAAAATTGTGTAAACTTTTTCTTGGTTCAATAAATTTAATATTATTTCCTTTATTTATTTCTATACTTGATTTATATATTTTTAAATATTTGATTACATAAAAAAGCATTTAAAAATACAAAAAGCAGTAGCCCACCAGTAACGGGAGAAATCCAAGCTATCGGTGGTCAGGGCTCCAGAGAAAGGAATTTCCGGATAATACGCGCCGTGTCCAGAAGTACTGCTTTCTGCATCAGGCCCTTGACCCAACCATCTAACATATTTATTTGTTGAGTATTGCTCATTTATAAATGGGGTTCCTATAATTTCTACGCTTAGCAGGCGGGATACAGATTGCAGTTAAAAAGTTTAAGTTTAAAGCGCTGCTGCCCGATTTCTATCAAAGTAGTCCGTTAATCGATTTTTAGGACCACAGTAATAGTAAAAATCTGTGGTATTATGGCCGTCACGTAACATAAAATTAAAAATTATGTTTAATGCCATAAATCTTCTTTACAATAATTACGGAAAACCTAGGCTGCTACCCACACGATACTAAAAAAGGAATACAACCTACGCCAATGTCGTAGCTAATATACCTGACGGTGCAATATATTATTGTCAATGAACAGAATTGGAGCAGAAATCTTCATTACCAGGCCATCAGGAGTCACAAGGAATTTAGCTTAACACGAATTTACTACGACAGAAAGAGAAAAGATTGGCCCCGGTACTTTTTTATACCAGCTTCATTAGTTACGATTTTTATTTTCGCTTTTATTACTATAGACTTTAATTGGATTTTTGTTTGTAATGCATAAATGTTGACTTATAGAATTTGTTCTTATTGTTTGAATGAGCTGGATGATTGTCAGAGAATGCTGTTAGCATTAAATCTTGCATATGCAATTGTATAAAACTTAATTAAATAAATAAAAAAATCTTATTATAGTAGTTTGAAAGTTAATTTTTTCATATTATTATATGTATAGGTGTAATTTTGTTACCTAATAGATAGGTTTTTACTTTTTTTTCATAGACAAGAATGTTTGGTATTTACCATACTAACAAAGAATAATATTGAAAATTTATTAATTTTCAGAATTTAATATTATTCTTTAAACGATAATGATTTTTATACTTATCTAAATTATACTATACCTACAGTGAAAAATATACTAGGAGAGCATAACAAGGAAGTGTTATCTTGCGCTTGCGAGGATTACTTTACATGAAACTGGGAGCATTATTTTATATGTGAGAAAGTTTTGCTTGGATTTTCATAATATGTGGTTTGAGACCGATAATTTTCTTAAGATAAAGCAGACATGCTCGTTATAAAAGTAATTATTATGTTCATAGTTATGATACCAAGGTTTCATGATAAAGTAAGAGATAAGCTTTGTGTGACGACAGAATATATATTTTGTTACCACGCTACCTTTCATGTGACTACCGTAAACTACAAATAGTGGTAAACTGCTTCATTGGTCGAGTGATCTCGGATTCGTTTCACGGGTAAGACAAATTTTTACTGAGTTTTAAAAAAAAATTCAGTAGTAGCACGGTGTCTGAAATTTTGCCCGGTATATATGGTAATAGGCTCACCCCCTATTATATGGGACACATAACATATATAATGAACAGTGGATGTGCATCTCTGCCTACCCCTTCGGGGATAAAAGGCGTTATGTTATGTGACTACAAATTTGACAGAGACCGGGAAGAACGCTCTCTGATAAACCTTATCCTCTTAAACTTTCATTCTCAACTCAAGCCAAGCATGGAGTATAGTGCGAACTCCTTTTATGTAGAGGAGACCCTAAGCCCCTTACGCTGACCGCCTAGGCGGGTCGTATTGACAAAAGCGGTTGTCATAGCCGTTAGAAAAGCGGTCAACCGCAGGGAGTGGCTAGCCGCGCGGTTGACCGCGAGTGCGTTGGTGGCATATACCTGCAGTGGACTACTACGGGTTGTTGAGGATTCGGACTATTGAACTTTGTCAAATGTGCAGTTCCTAAAAGTACTCAACTTCTTGTCTGAATATATGAGTCACAGTAAAAATATTCTATGCCTCGCGTAGATCTACGTTTCGGCCACCAGGGGCCCATGGATACTAGGAGTTAATAGATTCTTATAATAACACATATCGTCATACAAATGTGTCATAGATACGTAGAATTTAGCTTATACAAAAACTCGTTTAAATTGAAAATATTCGGTAACAACAGAAAAGTAATTTTCTTACGCATCTCATTACATTCTTTTTTCGAACACGTTGACAGCAAGAATAAGATGGCGGCGAAATTAAAAATGTTAACAAAGTTCCGAGCCTAAACAAACGGAAAATATTCAATTAGTTAGAAAACAAGACAACTTTTATTACAATGAGATTAAAATGAAGTGACTTCAAAGCGAACGTGGAAAGATAATATAAACACAATTATAAAGTTTTTTTTTATAAAAAGGTGGGCTCAGGTGTAATTGTTATTAGTTTTGTTTTAAATAAACGAATAGAGATTTTTTCTAATAGAGGGTGAGTTTATTGATATATCGTCTGGATAGTTCGTTTAGATAAAATTGTGTGTGTGTGTATTTTTATGGAGTAGGAGGCAAACGAGCATACATAATTATGGTAAGTGACCAGACCCGCCGATGGACTCCTCATGAGAAGATGTATGTTACTATTTATGGCTTTGCGTTGGTGACATCTCATTAATTA